CACATCTGAAAGCGGCCAAGGTGGAGAAACACGGCTGTAAACATTACAGGACACACAAGGGGGTTACTGCCAATCAGATTCCTGTGCCTTCCTTTCCCATTAAAGCAGGGAAACCCCAGATCCATCCAACAGCCGCCTCCCTCACGGCCAGGCTGGGAGTCCCAACTCCATGCAGCAGGCCTCTTGTCCACCAAGCCCATCAAAGGGCCCAGGGACAAAGGATGGCAACCAGCCTGGCCCAGCCACCCAGGAGCATCCAAGGCCAAGGTCTGCAGGCCAGTCCTGGGGGGCTTCCTCCAGCCTGGCCTTACCTCTGACCTCCGTCTTCTCCAGAGAGGCTGCAGCTGAGATAACCAAATGCTCAAAGCCCCCAATGCGGCAATGGCGCATAAGCGTCTTTACTCCATTTGGGTGAGGAATCTCTTCAGCTCAGGGCTCCTCAGGCATTTCCAAATACAGATGAAAGCAGTTTATCCAGATTTCAGCTTTCAGCCTGGATGAAGACACAGGTGATATTATTGAACCAGCACAACAAAAATACCCTATGAAAAGTTGGCTTTGCTATCATTTCTTCAACAACAACAAATAACAGATGTGCCATTTTCTTCTGTGGAAAAAGTTAAGTACAGTATTGTCCCCTTTGGCAGAAACAACCTCAGGTAGGCATTTCTTACAACTGTCTACCGGTCTCTGACATCGGCTGGAGGAATTTTTCCCCACTCCTCGATGCAATTTTTTTCCGGCTGTGCAATGTTTGAGGGGTTCCTTGCATGCACAGCCCATGTCAAATCACCCCACGGCATTTCAGTGGGATTTGGGTCTGGGCTTGACTTGGCCATTCCAGAACCCTCCATTTCTTTCTTCCTTTTTCCCCCAGCCATTCCTTGGTGGATTTACTGGAACGCTTGAGGACACGGTCATGTTGCAAGGTCCCCTTTCTGCTGAGCTTCAGTCTCCTGACAGATGGCCTCACATTGTCCTCAAGCACCCTCTGGCACAATGGAGAATTCAAGGGGGTTCTGTGAAGGTGAGCTGCCAGGCCCTGGAGCAGCCAAGCAGCCCCAGGCCGTAACCTTTCCACCACCACGTTTTACAGTTGCTATCCAGTTCTTCTGGCGAAATGCTGTCTGGTTTTTGTCAAGCATGCCTTCTGGTGCTGAGCTCTCCCTTTGCCTTGTCTGTCCAGAGCACATAGTTCCAGAAGTCCTGGTCTCTGCCTCAGTGATCATGTCTTGCCCTGAGCTTCTTTCTGGCCTGCAGTTTTCCTCCTGGCACACTGCCCACGAAGATCTAGTTGGTGCAGCTTCTTTCTAAGGGTAGCGTCATGCACTTTGACATCAGCAGCGGCGAGAGCCGCAGAGAGCTCTTTCGACCCAGGTGTGGCGATACCTCCCACTTCAACAACAAAGAGCAGATTAAACCCAATGTCTGAGGTTTCAGCGAGACAGGTTCCTCCCCGATCCTCTGCAATGATGTGCTAATTATTTGCGTCTGATTCTAATTTTAGGTATTTGAGATAGTGATCAATGGAGGGGTGTACTTACTTTGTCCACATGTGAAATTTGCATTCGTGTTTATTTAAATTACACGAAGGACTAAAGAATACAAATGGTGCACATTGTTTGTTATCCATCGCCTTTATCTATCGATATTACTGAAATGAAGATCAAATAGCTGTGTTGAAATATGTTGGAAAAGGTCAAACATTTCAGTGGGGTGTACTTACTTTTTCATAGGGCTGGACTGAACCACAAAGTACCCGAACCAGTGGGGTTCACCCAACAGATGATGATGTTAACTAAGCTTAGCACGTTGTGCAAATGGATTCAGACTTCAACTGGCCTGGTTAAGCAAGGCTGTATTATTTTAACTGTTATTTTAAATGTTGTTTGATGGTTTTTTATAACTTGGCTGTTAATCATGTATTTTATTTTGTTGTTACTTTTCTTTTCGACTGCTGTTATCCTCCCAGAATCACCTTGGTGAGATGGGCAGCCGAATAGATTGCATAAATAAATAACGACTAACCGCAACAACAACGCTGCAGCAGGAAGAGCACAAGGGGCAGGAGTGGCACTGGGGCTGAAACCGGAGCCAGAGACAGCTGGTGGCCCACCTCCTCAGCGCAGCGCAGCGCAAAACTCCAGCCTGAAGGTCTGCTCTCAGCAAAGGTGGTCTGGTGGCTCCCCTTACCTCCGCACGTCCCCCGGCCCTGGAAGAAATAGGGCGCACATGTGCCAGGTCACGAGCGTCTAAGCAACGTGCTGGGGAGCCAAAGTGGATTCAGAGGTTCCCGCCAAGGAGAATCCCCCACCTTCTGTGGGGGCCCAAGCTACCTTCCCATCAAAGGCGGTTGGGACAAGCTTCTCCACGCTCTCCCCTGGCAACCATAGGGCCGAACCTGGAGCCTTCTGCGCGGCACTGGCATTAGGCTCCTTGAAAGCAGGGAGGAGGGGGCAAGCAAAACCAGGGAACGCTGACACCATCTCAAAGGAAAATGGAACCGCTCCCTTAGGAAGGGCTGCAGGTAAGCGGTAGTGAAGGACCCAGCTGGAGGTGGGACTTTCTGGGCAGTGATGGATGGACTCAGCCTGGAAAGAGCCAAGGTATGTTGTAGGATGGGGCACTTCTGCTGTGCGGAAAGGAAGCCTCTTGGTGCAAACATGGTTTGAAGGTGATTATACAACCTTCCAGGGAGGGGGGTCCTGCCCAAGGGAGCATTTGACAAGACAAGATGCTGGCGCAACAGTTGTTAGCCCGAGGGGCTGGGCACTGAGGAGGAAGGTCAGCACTTCCAGGGAAAATCCAACTTCGCTCTTACAGATCAGTTTCTTCTTCTCTATATCCCCCAAAATAACCAAGAAGCAAATCGTACAAGATGTGGCCAGTTACGGAGGCCCCAAGGGTCCTCGCCTCCCTCCACCTGTTGCCTCAGTCCACCGAGTCGGGACTGGCGTGCGCGGATGTTGATCCTCCCGTCTGAGGTCAGGTCGGCTGGGCAGCTCTGCAGCCAGCGAGATGGGAGGAGTGGAAGAATCCCAGCCGGTTTCTTCGTCCACCTGCTGGGTTGCTGGGCAGGCCCTCAGAGGCATCCCTCCCCCGCCTAGCCTGGAGGCTGCCCTCTGCAGTCCAACCTCAAGGCCCCCTTTCTGGAAACTCCTGAGCCAAACCAAGCATTTTGCAGAGAGGCCACTCCTGTGGGTCAGTTGCAACAACCAAGTGGACCGAAAAGAGGATTTTGTTACACCAGAGGCTTTTGGGGACTGCAGTCCTCTTCCTCAGATGCACGAATGGACATGTGGAACGGGAACCTGTCCACAAAAGCTGGGGCTGTAACGTATCAGTCCCGCATGTACACTTCAAGGGTCTATGAAGAACGAGCCAAACTCCCTCGCTGCCAGAAATTAAGAGCCGGCCTCCGTCCCTCTCATGCCTGCCCAAAACCCAGAGTCCAGGGCAATCGCGCCCCTTCTCGATGGGGTGCGGAGGCAGCAGCAGAGGCTCATATAAGCACAACCACCAGGTATACTTCCAAAATGCCTTTAATGACAGAAAAGGGCCAATCGGCAGCCACCGCCTTCCCCCACTCGCTCCCAGTGCTGGAAGGAGGGAGCCCCGACCCAGGGAAGAGGTTCTGCAGCCAGCCAGCCAACCACAAGGTGGGGCAATCAAGACCCCGCACTGGAGCCAATGGCCCCATGCCACAGATGGGTGTCTTCCAGGACTACAACTTCCATGCATTCCCAGAGAACTTAAATCCGAAACATCTGGGAAGCTCCGGGTGGGGGAACGCGGGAGGAGAGCACACAACCTGGCTGGATGTTCTGCTCAGCCTCACCACAGCGACCAGGAGCCATGCTAGAGCAGCAGTGGTGACCTGGGCCACCAGCCAGTGTCTTATCAGCCTTAATTACCCACTGCCTCAGCTTTCCACGGTCAGAGGTCTGGAGAGGCTGACCCTGCTGGCTGTCTGAGCACAAAGCCCGGTGAAAAGGGGGAAGACCCGGTCTGCCTCGGGAGGCCCAAGCAGGTCAGCCCTGTACTGCAAGTAATCAGATGGAAAGAGGCACATCAGCCAACCCCTGGCTGGCTGCAGGTTCTCCGTGGGGCTGTCCAACCTCTCCCCCTGCCTCTCCCCCTGAAAGCAGGAACAGGCCTGGCTGCGTCACCGTCACAGGAAACCCATGTCTGTGGCCAAGGAGCAAACTGGGAAAGTATGAATGAAGGGCAACCTGTGCCATCTTAGGAAATTAGCAGACTTTTAGCAGCCTGGGGCTGAGAAGGGATACGGTGGGAGAAGAGGAAAGGCCTTTGCATCTGACACAAAGAACAATCTGAAAGAGCTCTTCTTGATTTTGAAAGAGTGGTTTGATTTTCCCCCACATACTTTGTTTGCACTTCAGTTTCAGCACCTGGGTCTCACAGAAGAGATGGAGCAGATCATAACCCAGCATGAAGACAAAGGACAGACAGACACCGAGTGATTTTCAAAAAACTCTTCTTCAATAGATTCTGAATGAAAAACACATGAGCAAAATCACAGGAGGAAAAGTTAAGCTTACCCTTTCCCCAGTTTGGTCAGGAAACATGTATCTTCATGTGCAATTAGGTTTTTCAAGTACAGGGAGTCCCCAGGATAAGAATGCCCAGGTTACAGACTACCCCAAGTTAAGAACAGAGCCTACTGTAGCAAAATTCGAGTTAAATACACAACGGTTCAAGTAAAATACACGATGGTTTGAGTTCATTACGCAGTACTACACATTCAGGATTGTCCAATCATTCTGTCCCAGCTTACATGCAAATTCGCCTTAAGGACAGACCGTGGGAACAGAACTCGTTCTTCAACTGGGGACTCCCTACATACCAAACTTGCCACACCGCGTTGGTCCGTGTTTTTTTGGAAAGTCAGTTTTTCACCCAAAGACCCCATGAAAACTCTTCTCCCAAACCACTTTTGTCCTGAAACACACGTTTGCTGAGAACTAAGCAGCAGACAGCACCAGCTGTCCATTCTGAGCTGCTTGTTCACGGAAGGCGCAGGTCTCCTGACCAAGAGGCCCAGCGACGCAGAGCGACTTGCTTTTGCCCGGGCTTCCTCTTGAGTGTGCCCAGCTGCCCCCAGACTGTGGACCTGCCACTGTGGAGCCCTTGCCTTGCGAGCAGAGCTCCCCAGGACAGCATTGCAAGCAGACCGAAAAGGTTCCTCAAACGGAGGCCTGGGAGCAGAGGGGAAGGGGCTAAAGGGTTCAGGGCGAGACCCCAGATGGCCAAGATGGCCAAAACACCGTTGGGATCGTGCTACAGTTCCCTGCCCTGAGGGGCTGCAGTCAAACATCTGCACGCTGCCAAAATGGGAGAAGAGGCAGAGCTCGCTGGGACTCAGCGATGATGCGGGGCTCCAGCTGAGCTCAGTCCTGCTCGAGACAGGAGCCAAAGGTAGCAGGAGGGCAGCCTGCAGGAAGGCAAAGACCCAGACAAAGGGCTGTTCCCCACTGAGGACTAGCAGCTTATGCCCAAAGGACCCCCCCTGCCTTTGGAAAGCACCCCAAGAGAACCAAGCTGGCCAGGATCTTGCCTTCATGCAACCTTCTCACTCCCAGGGCTAATCCTTCCTTCTCCAGGTCTGGCTGGGCTGCAGGATCTGGGGAAGCAAGGCCAGCCCCCACTGAAATGGGAAGGGATGGCCCTGCACACCACCTTCATTTTTGAAGGAAGGACAAGAAAAAGAGAGGCAAGAAAGAGGGGATTTGCTTGTGCTGAGCCAGCCAAGCACCCTTTTCCCCTTGGAGTCTAGACCGGTGCTTTTCAAACTTGCAACTTCCAGATGCGTGGACTTCAACTCCCAGCAGGCTGGCTGGGGAATTCTGGGAAGGGAGGGAGGAGAAGCCACCTCCGGAGGCTGCCCCCGCAGAGCAAGGCTTCTCCCAGGAATTCAGCTGCTCCCCGGAAGATGTTTGGGGCGGCAGCTGGGGAGGACAGAGAAGTAAAAACTGGTCCTTGTGGAGGATCTGATTTCCAGCATACACACAGAGGGGGCAAGTTCCCAATGGGCTGGTGAGGATCAGAAAGGACAGACAACTCATTTATTGCTTTACCATTGACAAGAAAAACATCAGGATTAAAAATTAGTAGTTAGAAAAAAACACTGTAAAATTTTACAAAAAGCATTATGTAAAAAGGAGTAGGAAATTCGGAGCCTGCAAAGTTACTGGCAAGAAAAAAAGGGGGGATGTGGGGAAGCCGACACCAGGCAGCTGATTTTCACAACCAGCCAGGCATGCCCGCATTGGAGGCCTTCTGCTTACCCACCCGGAGCTCCAGCGAAGGTGCCCCTAATTCATCGGCACAGGAGCCTTGCAGCGCTGCAGAGCCCAAGTGGGGCAGCGGCCTCAGAGCGCCCAAGGCTCCCTGCCAAGGAGGTCAGGATCAACCCCAGCACCTTTCCCTGCTCTGGAAGCCTGGCATGGTTCACCTCCCACCCTTTTAAGGCCACTGCTACCCCGCAAAGTAAGGTAAGGCTGGTGGGAAGCAACCATGGCATTCTCATGCCCCCCCCCCTTTCTCACACACACACGTGCGCACACGCACACACACACGCACTGCCCCAGGCCCCTGCACTTGCGAATGAGTACAAAGGGAAAGAGGTGAGCGTCTCTTCAAAGCTCAATTCACCCAGAACATTCTGAGGTTGAGGCAGCCTCCCACAAAATCCGCTGGTTTCTACTCCCTGAAATCCACCCAAGGCCCCCACCGCCCCACCCTCCCTGACTCCTTCCGCATGCCCTTCTCTGCAGCAGCAGATCTCTGAGGAAGGGCGTGAGCGCAGTCACTTCACGTTGACTTGGAGCACCCGGCCCAGGGCTACCAAACTGGGGCTGCACCAGGCGGAAGCAAGTCACTCCTTGCGGTCATCTCATGATCACCAGCTTCTTGAGCCAGACCTTCTGGGACGGAGCTCCACTAGTGCTGAAGCCAGCCTCATGTCCTGCTCAGCTGGCAAAGGGGGCAGACTGGATTGCTCCCCACTTGTAGCTCATTCTGGAGCCAAAGATAACCAGCTGGAAAACAGTTGGGTTGGAGAGAATGGCAGGGGTGGGCAGAGAAGCCCACCTGCCATCTCCATACCTCTGCCTGCCAGCCCCAGCTGGTATCTCCTGGGCAAGGCTGGCACCTTCACTACCCTGTTGGGCCTCAGTGCCCAGTGAAAGTCCTAGGCCAGGCAGATACAAGTGGGCATTCAGCCCTCCCTGAGATCTCCAAAGCCTACAAGGGCGGCAGAAGAGCTTCATCCCCTCTTAGGATCCCAAGAAGCTTCTGCTCCTCAGGGGCCTGGCTCTTCCCAGAAGGCACGGCAGAATTCCAGGAAGCAGCCTGGGAGGAACCGGAGTCTGGCAGGCCACATTTCTGCTCAGAGAGCCAGAGAGCAGCTCACCAATGCTGCCCCTTGGCCACCGCCCGAGGGGAGCCTGCTGGGGCTGCAACATCCCCCTCTTGCCCTGGATGAAGCGCTAAGGACACGGGCCCCACCCCAGCGGCCCCTGAGGAGGCCAACCTCTCCTGCTCACATCAGCTTACAGCAACGCCTCTTCTGTGCCAGCATCTCTTCGGCCGGGGCAGTCAACTTGAGGAGGGGAGGATCCCCGCTGGCTGCTGTAAAATACACAGCGTTGTGCTCTGCCGTGGGGGGCGGGGCCTCACTGGTGTCGGGTGGGAGGTCTTCGGAAGGGGGGCGCTGCAGCTTGGCCGCTGCCCGGTGGCGCTTGAGGTCCGCTAACGTGTGGCGAGCCTTCTCCTTGCTGAGGCCGGCGGCAGGGTCCTCCTGGGCAGCCACCTGGTAGGAAAGGCTGCGATCCGACCGCTTGGAGTAGAAGTGCTGAGAGGGGGCCGTGCCGTTGCACTCCTCCGGCCCCCCTGCTTCCGCTTCGGGGTCCTGCTGGGATGCAGAGAGGAAGGGTCTAGCCGGACCAGAGGCACACCAGGAATCTCTCCTCCCTGCACATTCATGCGCCCACAGCAGCACCAGGGGCCACACACATCTATGGAGGGCACCCTCTATGCAGTGGGTGGCCAGCCCTCCCCGCAGAAGAGGGGGAGTATTGCAGGCAGCTGCCTCCGGCCGGTGTAGCTGCCCCAGCCAGAAGGAAGGTGGGGGCCGGACAGGAAGGGAGCCCCCTTGGCCCCGCCATTGCTTCCCTGGCAGCAAAGCTTGCCGCACTTTTTCTTTGCAGCACATCAGCGTGGAAGGCCCCTCATTTGAGGAAACCCAAGTTTGGGGAGGGCAAGCCGTCTTCTCACGCTGAGAGCCCATTCCAAAAGTGGAAGACAAAGACCTTGGCAGGGCCACGGTGGAATCTGAATGTGGCTTTGTGTAATTTAAAGTTAACGACAATGAAATGAAATACGGTCAGTTTGCCAGCAACAGCTCCTGGGACAGAGCCAAGACTTCGCAGGAGATGCAGGCTGAAAGTCCTGGCTTGAAAGGCAACCTTGCCTCCATTTCAGAGGCAACTCCACTCCTGGGAAAGAAAAAGAGGGCCCAGGGGAGGCCTGGGTCTCCCGCCCACCTGGACCTGGAGCTGTGCGTCGGTCTGCCCATCCTCGTCCTCCATCTCTCCCTCGCTCTGCCGCTGCTGCCATACGATGGCCTCCTTCTCATGCTCCTTGCGATAGAGGTTGGTGCGCTGTGTCACGCTGACCCGCCTCACCACTTTCCTGAGGGGGGAGGACAAGGAACAATCAAGGGTCCCTGAGGGGCGCCGAGGCTGGGGAAACTCTGTGGCCCAAGCTCCTCCAAGCCTGGGCTTCAGGAGTTTGATTCAGGAGCCCTGCCCACCCTTCCTCCTCCTCTTCCTGCCCCCTTGCTCTGGCCACCCCCACCCGGCCTCTGGAACCCACCCTCGGCTGCCAGCACTGGACGTGCGGCGCTGGAGCAGCGACTTGTGCTTGTCGTGTGATTTCATGATGGCATCCTGCTTGTGCTTCAGCTCCAGAAGTTTGGCGCGCACGTCTTCATCTGCACACACATCTGGCAGGAAGAGAGAGAAGCAGCCTCAGTGCTGCCCAACACCCCCCTTCGCTTCGGGGGGCTCCCTACACAAAGACAACTTTCTCAGAACACGCTTCACCCCTTTTCTAGATTTGCACAATACGCTGAACTGTAAACTAACCAAACAGGCTGGGTTCACCCAATCCACAAGTCAAGGTTAACACGAATTGAGCTAAAACCGTGTGAATGCAGTGACTAGATATTAACTGGTGTGGTTAAGTATGTTGGGTGAACTCAGTCATGCTTTTCCCTTGTTATTCTGTTGTCTCCCCAGCTGTACAAAGGCCTGGGTTGTGTGTGTGTGTGTGTGTTTTACAACCACTGGTTCAATACAAACAACCACAAAGGGTAACAGACAAACCCAGTGCATATCGTCCTCCCCCACCATCACCAAAAGTCTTTTCCAGGACCTTCTTCCCAAACACGTGAGCAAATTAGCCTCATTGCTACGGATCTCCTCTTTTGCATCACAGTTGAGGGCTCATATTAGCAGAAGGGTGGCATATATTTCGTAAGTAAAAGCCCTGGACCATTAATGCCCCAGTTCTGGCCTGCGCAGAGAGCACCAGGGTCTGTGCAGAAGCCCCTGTCTTGCCCCTCCCTCCAGCACCTCTTGCTCACCCAGCGGGGTCTCCTCCAACACTGACTTCCCGTTGAGATCTGCTCCATGGGCCACCAGAAGCTCCACCAAGGGGATCTGTCGGCAACAGAAAAGGTTTCAGCAATGCAACGAAAGGGGCATCTGAACTTAAGGAAGCTCACCCGCCCGGCACGGAGGTGAGGGTCAATCTCTGAGCATTAAGGGTGAGGCTGGGCATGGAGTTGGACTCAGTGGCGCCTTCGGACCCCAGGATTCTTTCTAAATCCACACTTTGTCTAGTCAAAAACACAACTCATCCATAAAACTTGCAGCCTCAAGATGTGAGGCTGGTTTATAAGACTTTTAAAAAAACAGGGATTTTTTTTTAGATTTTTTTATCCTGCCTTTATTATTTTTTTATAAATAAGACAGCGAGCATACCTAATACTCTTTCCTCCTCCTCCTATTTTCCCCACAACAATAACCACCCTGTGAGGTGAGTTGGGCTGAGAGAGGGACTGGCCCAAAGTCACCCAGCTGGCTTTCACGCCTAAGGAGGGACTTGAACTCACCGTCTCCCGCTTTCTAGCCTGGGGCCTGAACCACTTGACCAAACTGGCTCCTTCTGGAGCCATTTATTTCACCACTGTAGGGAAGAGCAGCAGGTACCCCTTTCCTGGCGCCAGGAGGGTTCTTTTCCAGAAAGGCAGAGGGGCAGGGATGGAACTCAGGGAGAGGGACTCGTTAGTCGGGTTTCTACTACAGTGCGCGGGGCATTCAGGCTGTGCTGGTCAAGGCGAGGGGCAGGGTTGGTTCAGCCATCTGGCGCCTGAGCTTTAAGCAAACAGGGAGAGCTGCTCAGAAAGCACACTGCTTTTTTATAAAAAAGCTGTGAGATGGGCAGCTATATAAATGTGATGTATAAATAAAAATTTTAAAAAGACACGTGAGATCCCAAGGACACTGCGTCTGTTGCCTCTTGCCATCCAATGTGCTCCGCAGGATCAGGGCACTCACTGAGCCCGGTTTCTGCCAGCTCAGACCTTTCCCAAGAGACCCCTTTCTGGGCCCTGTGGAGGAGAGGCCGCTTTGAGCTTCCTGCCAGACAAGGCACAAAAAGCCGCCTTTCTCGCAAGGGCCGTGCACTGGGACTTCCGCAAGGGACATTCCCAGGACACAATTTCTGAGGCTGGAAAAATCTGCCTGCCTCCCTACTTGCTCCATCCACGCTAGTGAAGGAGGGCTCCCTCCTGGACGGCCTGCAAGAGGTGGGAACGCCACAGCCCCCCCGACACACCGCTCGGGCCCTAATTGAGGTGGAGCCACTTCTTTCCTCCGTGGCCCAGAAGAGCCGCTGAGCTGCCGGCCTTCCTGCCAGCTGCCTCTGCAGTGGCGCATCCAAGAGGCACCTCGACTCCAGATAGGTTCAGGTTACCTGGGCGGCCGTTGTTCTTCTGTCTCAGCTGGCTTGGAGGGCAAAGCCCCAACAGGGCTCCCACCTCAAGGCTCCAGCAAGGAGTCAGCAGCACTCACCTGGCCCCAGCAAGCGGCGGCGTGAAGTGGCTGCCACCCATCGTTGTCCTTGGCGCTCGTGCTGGCTTGATGTTCTAGCAACAGCTCAGCTGCCTCCAGGTAACCATTGGCTGAAGCAATGTGCAGCTGTGAGGCAGAAAAAGCGGAGGCGTGATTCTTTGGAAAGAGAGTAACCCACGGGGCGGGCAGGCAGCTGGCTGAGCCTCACCTGCAGCCGCACTGTGGGCCTATTAAGGTAAGCTGAGGTGTACTGAGGTCCACGGGCCTGTGTAAGGAAGAGCCACCGGCATCCGGGTCAGCTTCTATCCCACTCATGCTATCATCTCAGAAGGAAAGAAAACACAGATGTTTTGCAGAGAAAGTTTGGAGGGAGGGAGGGAGGGAAGGAGGGAGGATGAGCCAAACTCAGGAGGACTTCTCCATCCCAAAAGTCACCCCAGAGCTCAGTGTCAAGGATTCCTCTCACCAGGGTGGCGCTGTGGTCCAGTGGCGTATTCAGATCAGCTCCTTCTTTCACCAACCGACAGATGTCATTCACCATGGTGCGCTCAACAGCTGAGCGGGCCTCCTCAATGGTCTCCTGAGTGATCGCTAAGGACAGACGGGGAGAAAGAGCAGCTCAGAGTCAGGAAAGGGGAAAGCAGCCGTGGCGGCTCCACCCGAAGAGGGACAGGCCTCCTAGTAGTGGCTGCTCAGGACACCCCTCCAGGGCTTCAGCTGCTCCCTTTCTGCCATCACGGGCAAGGATGTGATACAGGCCCGGCCCCAAAACAGGATTACCACCCCATGGCTGCCTGTCACAGAGCCTTGCCCCTCACCACCAAGTCCCTGCTTCTGGGGAACAGCAGCCCCCTCCACGCAGAGGCAAAAGACGCCACACTGTCAGAAGAAAGCATCTTCAGGCTGTGGGCCAGAAGAAATTCGCAGGAATGAAAAGTGTGTGTGCCCTAGGCTTTCTGGATGCAGCTGGAGCAAAGGGGCCCAACCTTCTCTTGTTCAGGGTGTCCAGCCCAGTCAAGGCAGGTCCTGCTGAGGAATGCTGGAGAACCCCTCCCCCTTCCAAAATAGGGTGCATGGCCTTTGCCCTCCATTTTCAAATGGATCTTCTGGCGCGTGGAACAGAATGCTTTTCTGCCGCTGTAATGAGGCTATGTCAGGAGACTGCGCGTATCGCCTTCATAGCCGTGCCGACTTTCAGGGTAACCTCCAGCTGGTCACCTAGCCTACACCTTCTCTATCGCACCAAAAAGCCTTCTATGAAAGCCTCGATAGATGGGCCAAAGGCAACAGAGCTCAATATTTAGGATCGCGGCATATGAAAGATTGCAAGTTAGAATATAAGTAAGAGGAGTAAACGGTAAAGAACATAAAATGAAAGAAAGAAAAATAGATATGCTGCATGTTGATGAAATTAAGAGAAAAGGGAAGGATGTCATTGGCTTGAGTAATGGTGGGCTGATCTTGCACAGGTAGTCCTCGCTTAACAACGGCAATTGGGATCGGAATTGCTGTTGTTAAGTGACACAGTTGTAAGCACAACATCATGTGACCGCACTGCTTAGCGATGGCGATTTCGGCAGTCCCAGTTGCTGCAAGGCCTGCACAGGTTGTTAAGCAAAGACCTAACGTGACCACAACTTCAGACTTCCTGCTGGCTTCCCCACTGATTTTGCCTGTGGGAAGCCAGCAGGGAAGGTCGCAAATCTCAATCAAGCAACCGCGAGGACGCTGCGATGGCTGGAACTCCTAGGATTGGTCATAACCACCACTCATTCGGCACCGTTGTAAGCTTGAATAGTTGCTGAATGAGTGGTTGTTAAATGAGGACCACCTGCCCACTGGACTTGATGAATACCATGCAGGAAACTAAAGGTGAGGTTTAAGAGCTAAAATTTATGTCACAAGGGATATTTGGATTCATCTAGGTTCCGCATATATAAAAGCAGGAATCCATAGGCTGATAATAGTTTCATTTTCCAGCAAACGGTGATAGTGGAAACACCAAAGAAGAATCTTGGGGAAAGTTGCAACATTCTGAATGAATGGGATCCAGAGAGAAAATGTATTCTGTTACGTGGCATGAATGGGTAGATGGGAAAAAAGAAAAAGTGACTGGGCATTTGGATACCCAAGAACGAATGAGAACGGTGACTGATGAGAATTTGCTTACAAAAGGTCTGCTTTGTTTCTAATATGTGGCTGAAGCGTATTCATGCATACACATGGCAAAGGAATGAATATAAATCTAAAAGGATGATGGATCTGATTACTTATAAAAAAGGCTGTGAGAATCAGGTGATGAGACATCTTAAATGTGAGATAGACCACTTTTTGTTATATCAAAGGTAGATCTTCAGAAATACAGACATGGAAGAAAAAGAAAGAAATGAGAGTGAAAGTAGAGTGCGTACAGAAAAAGAAAGTACAGACCTGCATGAAAGTGTATTACATTAATCTTCCAACAGAATGAAAGGAATGCGAAAACAAGGAAAGAGGATATGGAAGCTGCATGGAACAGAGTGAACAGAATTATGTTACAGAGCACCACAGTAGTCTGTGGAATTACACTAATGGGAAGTATCTAAAAACATGCTTGGTGGAAAGTGAAAGAAGCTGTGGATGAGAAAAATGCTTATAAGGTTGCTGCAAAAAATGAGGATGAAATATTTGTATGTGTGCAGAGAGAAAAAGGTGGTTGCAAAGAACGTAGTCCGAGAGTAAGGCTCAGGTAAGATAAAAAGAGGAAGATAAAACACAGAGGGATTTGGATGGAAGTAAAAAATTGCTTTGCAGATGGATGAGGAAGGCTACAGCAGGAACTCTCAGCAGAGCAAATGGAACTAAGAATAAAGTAAGGAAATGATTTGCGATGAAAAGGACAGGAATGCTAGAAGGAGTTTAGAGATTTGTATGGGGAGGACAGCAACAGATCGAAGAGCAGAATAGAAATGAATTCTTTAAATGTTAGTTTCCAAATAAAAATGAATGTAAAGGATGTCAAAGGTAGTGGAAACGTGGAAGTGCTTTGTTATATGGAAGCAAGAGGTGGGTATCTCAGGGGAACATAAAAATGGAATGCAATAGGAAGAAGCCATAGGAGGTGTGGTAGGGTGCAACAAGAAGAACTAGGTCAAGAAAGAGTGGGTGCTGAAGGAACGTGAATACCAGAGTGGGAGACCAGTACTGAAGAAGTGAGGAAGCACCTTGAGATGCACTGGTCATATGGAGGGAATGGATGAGGATCAAAGTGCAAAACAAGAGCGAAGGGATCGAGAGGGAGGGGAAGGCTGAGGAAACCATGGCTGGATGGAGATGTCGAGATCCTCAAGAAGAAAGAGGTGAGGAGTTTAAAGAACAAAAGGCAATGCATGTCACGGCACACGGGTGTGGGGACGCACAGTGAATGATGAGGATATTAACCAGTTTAGCTATGTTTGTTTTTCTTTTTCTTACCTTGTGCCTCTCATTTTTTGGATTAACTATTTCTTTTCTGCACTTTGCGTAACAGTGTTGATCCTGAAAGGGAACAGCGTGACAAGTCTGTATCTATGCATGGCTTTTACACCATGTTACTCCCTTACTTGTCAGCCTCCTCAGGGAGGCTCTTGGCTTTGAAAGGCAGTAAAGTAGTGTTTCTCAACCTTGGCAGTTTTAAGATGTGTGCACTTCGGCTCCCAGAATTCCCCAGCCAGCACATTACAGTAGAGTAACACCTAAATAAACAAACTGCTGGAAGGGAAGCAGTATCCTCTCCTGGTGGGAGGCAGGGGAAGGCTGAGGATCCCACAAAGACAGGCAGGGTGAGCTGCCTGTCCTTCATAACTGCCCCATTCCACAAAGTCAGAGAAGATCAAGAGAAGCAGCTCAGGAGGGAAGGAAACTGTGAAGAAAAGCACACTGTAAAACTTCCAGCTCTGAGCTCTCAGGCATGGCGGCAAAAAAAACGTACTACATTCTGACGCAGATGCAGTTCAGACTCCAAAAAGGTACCTTCCTCTGTTTAAGTGGATGCCAAGAAGCTTTTTCTTCATGTTTACGTGTCTGTCCAGATTTGGAGCTGGGGAGCTTCTGAAGGACTGCTGCCTTCAGTCCCTCCCTGCAGGCTCCCTGGCCACTGTTTGAAAGAGGGCACTGGCCTGGAAGGACCTCCATTCCTCGAAGTCAGGCCTGTTCCCAAAGCCAGCTGGGACTGGGGAAGGAAGCAATAAAACGCCGGCCAAGCTAGAGCCTCCTTGGCCGGAAGCAGCTCCGCAGCCTCCTCCTGGAGAAGCCCGGTCAGAGAGTGGAGTAGAGGGAGCAAGGACCTGGCAGCAGCGCCCGTTCCTACGGGCAGGCTGGAAGAGGCAAGAAAGGCAAGAGCCCAGAAAGAAGGCCCCTCACCTCGGTCAGCCATAGCCGTTTCAAGGTAGTCCAGCGTTGCCTCGTCCTCACAGAGGTCGTACGGCATGTTTCCATCCGAGTTGACGGCAAGCAGGTTGGCACCTCTGGAGGAAAAAGGGGTGGAGACGCCGGGAAGCATGTGCGAGACCTCCTGCTCCGGCCGGGGGTTGAACGTAACAGATACGAGGAGCTATTTTTGTTCGGCAGCAGGCCACCTGCAAAACACGCTCTGCGGGCAGAGATTGGGTTTCCCCCTCTCTTCTCTCCCCTTCATTCAGTGGGGGATGGTGGCTTAAACCGCATGCTCTTCCCCAGCGACACTTCCTCTCCCTCTACAGGGCCCCAGACCATTTTAGGAAGAGGGGCCACACACAAGACTGGCTCTGCCATCTGGTGACTGTGCTGCCAATGCACAGGAAGCATCAGCTCTACTGCTCCTCAGCTGGCAGAGATGAAGAGGGTCGCAGGAAGGAGAGGCCTCTCCTGCACCCCACCATGATCCTGCTGCCACGATAATGTCTGCCCCTTCCTCCATCATCTCCCCACCACTGCCAGAAGAAAGCCAGCGACCTGTTCCTCGCCAGCCAAGTATGAGCTTGCAGGAAATGCTGCCGGAGTTCCTGCAGCACACACTTTTGGCAGTTGCCCAACAGTAGGTTATACAATGTGTCCCGCCCAAGCTTATATTTTGGGACAAAATGTGACTTCCTAATCCTTTGTGATGATGTACATAATTCTTGAAGAATAAGTCCACAAATCCTATTCACTGGCTACACAAGACAGATAAGCCCTAGTGAAAAAGCGAGGGACAATATGTAGATGTTCTCCTTTGTCAAAGTTAATGCCAGAGAGTTGGTGAACGTGGAAACGTTTCTTTAACCTCAAGAGGAAGCGCATCAGAGGCTCCATACTCCCCAAATGATGACAGTGGAGGGAGGCATGACTCCTGGCAGCAGTGAGCACCCCCTGGGCATAAAAGAAAGAGATGTTCCTATCCAGACCACCTGGGCCATGTGGTTGGCTCAACAAGGAGCGCGTGAATTCTAGCCGGCTTAACACTCTTGTGCAGCAAAGGAACGCTCTTCTGCACACTCCCCTGGGCACGAAAGCACAGGGGCGCATGCCCTGCTGGACTTGCCCCCCCCCCCCCCCCCGATCTCTGCTCAGGCTGGTGCCTTGAGAGGAACCATATTCTGGAAGGGGCTGTACCCATTCCTGAGGAGCTGCTCAGTGCTGTATGCAGCACCAGGATCAGGATCCAGGAAGGAGAATATATTTGCTGAGGGTGGGGGGAGGAAAGGAATTGGGGCAAAGGGTGCTGTCTGACCCAGTGGCTGAAGAGGAAGCAGTAATAAAGAAACTATCCAAACTGATATTACTTGCACAATCCATCAGGTTGACGAAATGACCCCTAAGACACCAACATATTCCTGACTCTCGCACGCAGCCAGCACGACTGCCCTCTTGGGCCAGGCCAGCCTATGTCCCATAACAGCTAGCCAAGGCTTCTCGAAGAACCCAACGGCCAAAAGCACAAGCTGATTTTTGCTCAGCTTGCTTGCCCCGTACCTTTGAATGAGCAGCTCCACCAAATGCAGGTGCCCGCAAGTGGCGGCAGCGTGCAAGGGGGTCCAGAGCTCACTGTCGCAGGCGTTGACATCAGCACCAGCTTCTAGCAGCACCTCCACTATCTCCACATAGTCGTCGATGCAGCACTGGGAAAACGAGAGGAAGAATAAAGGAATATGAGGGGCCAAAGAGGGCTCCAGAAGGCCCCATTTCTAGTCCAGGAGCTCCACATAGTCTCAAGGCACGTTGTCTGTCTGCTTGGACAGGAAGTGTCCAATGGCCAGAAGGCTGTCCGGCTTCTCTGCTGAAAGGAGAGCACTCCCCTGAGCACTCCCCTGCCTCTTCCCACTGGTCCATTTTGCTGGCTTCCCACCAGTGTCAAACTCCTGGGACTCAGAAGGCTTTTTTCCCCTTTTTCTATTCATGCCACATCTTAACAGCCAGGACTAAACCACATAAAACTTGAGCCACGCGCAAGATGCTGGATCTTGAGACTAATTTCACAGCTATGCTTGGGCAGGTTCCCAGCTCTGGTCTGCAAGCTACAGCCCCCTGCCACCGTCCAGCTCTTCCTCAGCTGCCCACACGAGGAATGGAACTCAACTTAGCTGGATGTGGGTCTCCCCTGCTAGCCAAGCGCTACAATGAGGAGGAAGATGAGGCAGTGGCACCATTGAACATCCTCTTCCAGGTCTCAGGGGGAGAGCAGCAGGTTCCCACCGGGGCATCTGAGAAGCACGGTGACCTCCATTCCTGCTCTACCCCTGCAGTCTATCAAGGACAGAGGGCTGGAAATCTTCAGTGCCCCAAGACACAGGCTCTCTTCTTCTCCCCCAGTATGTACAGGAAGATTGGCTTAAATGAGGATGGACTGCAGTGTGAATTCCTAGGAGAAATATCCTTGCTGGGGCATTTGGCAGAATGAATGAACCATTTCAGCCCCCGGCACTGAAGCTGGCGAGGTACACAGGGCAGCAGCAACAGGAGATGCCAAACAGCTCTCATCATCACTGAAGCCCACGCCATCAAGGGAAGGTGACGAAGGCATAGCGGTTTTCTGCAATGCCGTCTCCTGAGATTCCAGAAGCTTATGCAGTCTTGGGATTTCTGAGCATCTCTAAACTCTGCTCCCCGGAGCAGCTACAGGCCCACTGCACAGTCACTGCAACTCCTGGTTCAATGGCCATCTTGCGTCTCATTCCTGAGTCCCCCAGCCCTGCTTAGGATGCAGCCTCCCCCGTCAGGTGCCCTCTGTGTCTCCAGGTCCATAATTCCCGCTCTGGTTGGTAACAGGTGTCATGTTATTTTGCTTAGTCATTGCACCGCTCTTGTCAAGAGGGAAGCAGCGCCACCAGCAAAGGAGGAGCCTGTGGGACGCTGTGTGAGTATGTGCAGAGACCTACCATGCTAGCAGAACACTCGACATCTGGCCCAGATGGTGGGAGCTGGAGGAGAGCCAGAAAAATGTATTGGGCTCACCTGGTGCAATGCAGTCAGTCCATCCTCATTGTACAAGCTGGGGCTGATGCCACTCTGAAGGAGGTGATGAACTGTAAAAAGACAGAGATTTTTCAGACAAGGGGCTTGGGATTTTCCCTAAACATGGCCCTCTCCAAGCCAGTCAATATCTGCTATGGGAAAAGCTGCACCATCTATGTGGACCCTGGGATCCTGGATCATTCCGAGAAACTCTGCAATGCTAACTTGGTGCCCACTGTCACCCAGCAACAAGCTTCAGAGGCAAGGGGTGGAAGCCACAGGGCGCCGGCATGGATCGTGCTGTGTGAAGTGGAACAATCTATCTTGATCTGAGAAAGGACTCTTGAAGTTTCTGGTCAGGAAACTGAACGTTTCACACAGAAGAGCAGAGTCCAAAAATATTAAGGCTGCTCTACAGAAAAGGACGTGGTTTGTCATAATCATTGCTTGGGCTTCTGATTCTGGGACCTTTATAATTTACAATTTTGTCCTTGGTTCAGCAATGGGTGGAGACGGCAAGGCTTTGGGGCTGAGGTCAGAGCACAGGCGGGTCCAGCACCACACTTCAGCACAAGAGGGCGCCCGCTGTTCCCTGAAGAGACATGCGCATCAATACAGGAAGGGGCAGAAGCCACCCTTGCTTCTGAGTCCTGAGCGCTGGGAGTCAGCAGTCGGGAGCTGCAACCCGCCAGCAGCCCTTGACCCCTGATCCCAACCGCTGCTCGACAAAGATGCTCTGCCTCTTGGGACTTGTGCCACCCCACCCTCTCTGGGAGCAGGGACCCTGAGTTCCGGTGGGAAAACTTCCCACCAAACAGTCCCCTGATTTTTTTTCTCTTATAAAATAATAGTTTTTATTTTGCAATTCAGTGGTTAATATTTTCACAGGGTCCTCAAGCACACCAGTTACAAGTGCGGTAGATCAGTTTAGATCTTTCAGCTAGGTGCTCTTCTGGATGATCACATTCTCTAGATGAGAAGGTACTGTTTCTGGTTGTTTCTGGACAGTCACTTTGACTATCATGTTTTGTCATCGATACCGACCTGTTTTTCACACTTATTTCTTCTTACCTCACCTGAACTAAAACCAAGGTCCAAAATCTTAAAAAGTTTAACTCTGTCCTACACATGGAACTTTCTGCAGTTTCTTCTGTTCACACACCCACTTGCTCTCTCTGCCCTTCCTTTTACCCTCCCTGCAGGGGTGACCACAGTGCATGTTCTGTTGGCCATTCGTGTAAGCACACTGGATTTATCTCCAGTTTCAATATCATACCACAATATTTGAGGAACAAGATGCCAAAATATAACCAGCCTGTTATGGTTCAATCTAGAATAGGGCAACGGCAGGTGAAACTGCTGGGGCCTGAATACGTGCCTACTTGTGGTGCATAAGAAGTTGAACAGACAGGGCACTCCAGTGAGCCAGAGGCAGGGAGTCAACCCCCAGAGTGTCCGATATCAAGGCTTAACCTAGGCTCAGAGACCTCCTCAAGTCTGCCTTAACTGCAAGTATCCACCATCAATTGCTGAACCCAGGCCTGGCTGAAACTGCCTGGAGCCCCAGGTTGGGTGGAGTTAGCTAGGACTGCGACAGGATTTAAAGATGGAATGCCAACACTGGCAGGGAAAGAAGCCAAGAACTTAACCTGCATTCAACTAAGAAACTGAGTAAACATCCAAAGACTTAATCTCATGCACCCAACTGTCAGTTGTACCACCAACAAACCATGGCATTTTGCCAAGGAAGCAAGAGCCCATGGCTCTGTAGGAGCAGCAGGAGGAAACATCCTTCTTCCTGGAGTCCATAAGCACCTGCAGCTTTGCCCAGGGAAACCGTGTGTTGACTTAAGGGCTGCCTTTCAGCCCCAGCAATGGCTGCACCTGCACAACCTGTCCCTGGAATCCTGCAAGCAACGCTGAGAAGCTCCCTGCCAGACCAGGCGATGCTGCCTCTCGGCCACTGCCTGTGGGAAGGGGGGATCAGCATCCAGTGCTTCAGAGTCATTCTTGGCTTCTCTTCCTTTTTTATCACACAAGAACACCCAGGGTGCACAGAGGGAGAAGTCTGAAAGCTGGTTCACCCCACTCTTGTACTCCTCTGCTCCAGAGGCCTGTCAGTTACCACAGTGCTTGACAAATGAACTCGAACGTCTTGGGAAAGATGCTTCTTAGAACCACAGAACTGCATGCACAAGGTTGCTGATGTGGGAAAAAATGAGAGAAAGGACCACTGTGTATTTCTTCTTGAGCTTCTGAGCAAAAGGCAGAATATATATCTTACACACAAACAAAGCTGAGTGAACAGCCAACTGCAGCTAACAGACTATCTTAACTGAATGCGTAAACCCAGCCTTCATCTGCTAGGGCTGTGTCCCTACAAGGAGGGAGAAGAGCAATTACACACTTTTCCTTTTTCGTTTTACTTTATTAGAAAAAATGTCCTTTACAAGAAGCAACATGACACCACCCCTTCATTACGGCAGAACCAGGAAGTCTATAATCTTTGTAGACATAATACCATTGAAGGGAACAGTCCAACACAGTTGGTGATGAATTGATTTTTAACTGCCTTAAAAGATATTTATCATGATGTATAGTGATTGTTCCTGTCTTTTTATAAAGAAAGACAAAGTGACTGCTAGGGAGGGTAAAGAAATCAAGAAAGAGTAAGATCATCTGTGAGTCAATATACTCGAGAATAAGTCTATAAAAGCTGGACTCTCGATAATCCCCCCAATCCATTTGGACAGTTACTCCTGCATCAACCAGGGCATTAAATCCCATTGTGGTGACTCAAATGTACTCCCCAGTTTTCTGGTGACAGAACTTCTCCTGCCCAGGATGAGACCTAGTGAACGCGTCCCCCGCCCCCATTACCCTCAGCTAAGGCAAAACCCTTGAGCAGAAGGCAAACTGCCACGGCACTAAAACTCACCGCTGGCTTACTTCAGCACTCGGAGTGCCCTTTCTGCCTCTGGGTCGCTGGGGCAGCTCTTCTAGCCCCAGATCTCTAGGGAAGATTTCCAGCTATGCAGAAGGGAAGGTCAAGTGCCTCCTCCCCTGAGCTCACGTGCCCCGGGATTCCTGCAGCTACGCCAGAAGAGTTTGCTGCTGCTGTGCCTCAGGCAAGCTGGACCATCCCCTTCCATCCCACATCCTTCCCCATGCTACAAACTGCCAGGGTTGCCCCTGCTTCCAGCAGCTTTTAACTCCCCCACCCTTAACCCTGCAGTGCTCCTCTCTTCCTGGAGCTGACACACGTTCAGTTTCTGGAGATCACTGTGGTGCCTGGAAAAGAAATACAGAGAAACGTCCCCAAATGATTCTCCATTCCTCAGAACAGGCAACAGCATTTGGACAGAGGACATCCCCACCTGCCCCATGTGCCGTGGCCAAGAGGAGGAATGGGCAAATGGTTGCAGAGAAAGAGAAACAGGATTTTCTTAGAGTTTAAAAT